CTTCCGGTAGGCCCCAAGTGGCTGAGCCCCGGTCCAAGGGAATCAGACACAGGGCCTGGGCTGGTTACCCGTGTCCAACTGCCAGCGGCCTGTGCGCAGTCCATGCCCCGTGTCTAGCCCAGGGCCTGCCTCAGATACATTTGAGAAAGGCAGGCAGGGTCTGGGTTCTCTCAACCAACTGGCGCTGCGCCACTGCCTGAGTTTCCCAGTTGCATGGAAAGCCCGAAATAGGCCTCTCGTCCTTGGTCACGCCTGCCTTTACTTAGGGCGGCAGATATTGCTGAAAACAGGGCCCAGTAGGGCTCATCGAGGCCTTGAGCCTCACATTCCGTCCTCCATACTTTGACAGTCCTCTGAGAAGTTCAATTACTCAATCTGGCGCTTTCCTTTCTGCAGTGACTTCTCATAGTGAGCGACAGGCTGTGGGGCGGTCTGCATCAGTTCCTCCCGGGTAAACCATTTGTCCTCAGTGTGATGTCTGACCCGAACGCGATATTGCAGCTTCGCCTTAGGAGGACGTCCCCTGCCTGTTGGTCTTGGAACTGGCATTTCTCTGTGGTCCACGATGTCGTCGATGTCGACCTCTCCGTCCATGGTTGGGGGCAGCATTGAGCGGCGAGAGGGAAAATGATCAGTTTCCTTGAAAGGTGTGAGCGTGGAGGCGTGAAAAACAGGGTAGGTGCGGAGGTGACCAGGGATCTGAATTACATATGATGGCCTGTACAGATCATCCCCGACAACATCTAGAACCTCCCATGGCCCGAAACCAGGGATCTGAATTACATATCCCCGACATGGCCCCAAGTACTGCGGCATGAGCTTGCGGGAGATCCCATGCTCCTGCCCCAGTTCAGAGGCTTTGACCCAGACTCTATCCCCTACCTGGAATGTAGATGGGCGGCGATGCTTGTTCTCAGACTCTATCATTGCCGCCTGCGCTTTATGCATGTGTTCTACAGCTTGCTGCATCAGATGTTCATATCGATAAGCGAATTCTAAGGTGCCAGGTGCAGCAGTTGGCTGGTTCTCAGGTAGTAGAAAGTCTAGGGGCAGTCTAGGCTTCAAGGTCAGTAGCAGACTGTTAGGGCTTACCCCTGTTGCGCTGTGCACAGCGTTGTTGTACAGGCTGGCGATGAGAGCAAGTTTCTCATCCCAGTCCACCAGATTAGGGTTGATATAGTGCCTCAGCAGGTGTTGTACAGCGCGGTTCAGCTGCTCTGCTTGCCTCTTTGCCTCTGGGTGTTTCCCAGAAGTCATGTGCAGCTGTGTCCCCTACTCTGCAGCTGCGGCTTTCCACAATTCACTAGTAAATCGCACATCCCGGTCACTAACTTTGGCAGTCCAAAATCCCTGACCCAGTTTTCTTTAAACAGCTTAATCACGTACTCGGTTTTGGATGTTTCGGGCATTGCGATTAACCTAACATACTTACTAAACCTATCCACAGACGTATCGCATACCGCACTTGCTGGTGACCAGCGTGTCCATGAAGTCCATGGACAGGCTCTCACCGGGCCTTTCCGGTATCGGAAGGGGCTTGAGAAGCCCAAGAGGGGCCTGTGTACGTGGCTTGTCCCTCTGACATACCTGACAAGTCTCCACGTACAGCTTGGCATCTCTCATCATTGTGGGCCACCAGAACTGCTGCAGCAGGTTGGCTGCAGTCTTCTTATAACCAAAATGTCCGGTGGCATCATGACACTCCCCTAAAAATAAACTATGCAAAGACTCCCGACTAGGCACACACAAACGTTCATTCCCGGCCTTCTCAAGGAACAGCAGGCCATTGACCAGTACAAACTCGTCAGAAGTAACTTTGTCCTTCGCTTCGAGCCTGCGTATGATCTCTGACATAAACGGATCCTTGTGACAGGCTTCCACCAGGGATCGAGTAACATCATCCGCAAGCCCAAACTCAGTGATCAGCGCATCAGTAACTTTGTTATACTCTCCTTTGATGTACTGGGGTCCGAAGTCATACTGCTTAACGACTTCAATCCAGCGTTTTAGCACATCGGAGAGCACCGGCTGGGTTCTCATCCGCTTTAGGGTCTGATGATCAGTCCTGACGTAGAAGAACCTCCCAAGGAGGTAGTGCCTCCAGTGGGTTAGCGCCTTATAGATCGCATAGAGCTCCTTCTCATAGGTGGACTTAGCCAACTTCTGGGACGGTATCTTTTTGGACATGTACTCGACCGGTCTCAACTTTGGCCCCTCCTGCTGCGCAAGCACGGCACCAATGCCATATTGGCTGGCATCCATGGTTACTATAAATGGCTTGTCAAGATCAGGAGGTTTCAGGACCTCATGGTGTGTTAAGGATTTGAAAGCAGCCTCACACCTATTTGTCCAGTCCCAAGGGGTGCCAAGGCGTGTCAGGTCCATCAAAGGGGCGGCCACTATGCTATAGTTCTTTACAAAGTTACGGTAGTAGACGGTTATCCCTAAGAAGGACTTCATCTCAGTCACAGACTGAGGACGCAGCCAGTCACGAATGCTGGCCACCTTCGCGTCATCGGGCCTCAATCCCTTTGCGGAAATCTCATGACCCAAATACAAGATCCGGGTGCGGCCAAACTCGCACTTTTCCCGGTTAATCTGAAACTTGTGCTGCCAAAGGAGACTAAGGACTTTGTCTAGATGGCCAACATGCTCCTCGACAGTCCTACTAAAGATCAGTATGTCATCGAGGTACACGATGACAAGCTTGTCCAAGTAGTCATGAAAGATCCGGTTGGCGGCGTGCTGAAAAGTGCCAGGAGCATTGCAAAGGCCAAAAGGCATCACCTGGTCTGAAAAGCGGTTTTGTGTTGATCCTCGGGACGGATTGCAATCTGATGGTACCCGGACTTCAGATCTATCTTACTGAAGTTCCGACACCCTTGCACTTGGTCCAACAAGTCATCGATGAGCAATAGGGGCTCTGCGTTCTTCACAGTGATGGCATTGAGGGCCCTATAGTCAATGCACATCCTCAAGGTTCCCCCCTTCTTTGGCACAAATAAAACAGGAGATCCGTAAGAGGAAACACTCGGCGAAATCCAACCCTTCTCTATGAGATCCTTGAGTTGCCGGCGAAGCTCATCAAGCTCTGCTGGAGACATCCGATAGATCCTACCCTTCAGAATACTAGACCATGGGATAATCTCTATTGCGTGGACGAGCTCCCTCTCAACAACCCCTTTTGGCTCTTCGAATAGATCAGGGTATCTAGCGACCACTCCCTCTATCTCTGGAGGCATTTTAGCCAGCTCGCCCTCTGCAGAGACGTAAACTAAGTACATACCGTCCTCCTGATTTTGCTTATAATAATTGTAAAACGTGGCCGCACACATGCATCCGTAGGACTCAACCAGACTACTAGCTTTGAGCTTACGTAATCTAGCGGTCCCCCCTCCGGGCAAAGTGTGTTTGACCACTTTTCGGTCCCAGTCAAACTGGGGCTGTGCAACCGAAAGATAGTACATACCCAACAAGATATCCATTGGGAGCAACACATGTTGGGAACCGGGCCAGATCATCGCTAACTAGGAACGAGACTCGATGTCTCAGTTCCCCTCCCGCATACGAGAAACGACACTCAACGTCTTTGAGGTAGTCATTGACTACTATGCGCTGTTTGTTGGCACACGTCGACTCCACAGGTCAACTCAAGCACTGCACATGCTCCTGTAAGTGCAGCCTCTCAACGCATGCGCGACTTACAAAGTTCCTCATCGAGCAAGTATCGTAAAAGGCCCCGGCCTTGCGGCCGCCTATATCTACCTCGCCGACGAACAACTCACCCTTAGGAGCTTTAGCCATGGCCATCCAAAAAGCTAGCGGATCCGATCTAGACCACTCCTCTAGCTCCTCGAAGGATTCAAACACATTCATCGAACAGAGGATCGATTAGTCCAAATGTGTTTGCGGGACAACAACAAAGTCGATAGCTTGGGCCATCTCTCGAGATGGTGAAGGTGTGTCCACCACCTCGAACTGTTGGCAGGAACAACTACAATTCCTACTGGCCCGGCATGTTTCCTGAAGCTGTGTCAGAACTGTTGGCGACATTGCTGACCGACGTCTGCCCATCGTAGGCGGGATCTTTTCCGTCACCTTCTTATTCCGACACTTGAATTGGTTATGGCCATATTGGCCACAACGGATACAAGCCTACCGGGAGTAACGGTCTCTCCCCACGTCCTCGGTAAGACCCACTTTCTCCCATGGAGGCGAATTAAGGTCTACTTGACTCCTAAATCGAAAGCCTTTGCAGCGTCTGCCGGTCGCCTTGCCTTTCTGTACTGAGGCAGCGACTGCTCCACCCCCTTAAGCTTCTGCGCTGCCCACCTCTGACCTTACTCCCTCTTGGAAGTCGTCGTCTAACTCAATGGTTGAACCATCGTTATCGACGAACATTATGCGACCCTTCGCCTTCCAGTTGGGAGGCAACGCCTTCTTTCTACCGCCCGTTGTGGGTTGGTGCCCATGCCCGATCTTTGCCTCTAGATCTAGGGCCTTCTTGCTGAACGAGGGGAAGTTGTGCACTGTGATCATGGCCTCACCTGCCAACTGATTCATGAGTTTTATAGAAAGACACCTCAAGTAAGTGGTAAGTAAGACCTGGGGGTCGTAGCGCACTCCAGGTACACAGATCAGACGCTCAACATCGTTTGTGGCATCCCTTACTGACCTGAACTTTCTTGAGCTCAGGGCCAGGATCGCATCAATGGCCTTTTGGGCCTCCTGCGGATCATGCCACCTTTCCTCCAGTGGCTTGAGGAAATCGTTCAATTTCTGGTTGACTACCCAAGCACGAAAGTCATGACGTACCCCTGCAGTTGCACGTACCCGCTTAACCATCTTGTTGCACTCCCCTCCAACTAGGAGGCAATCGCTAGCACTTCCTCGTGAGGCAAGGTAAGCTTGCACTTAACATAGACTGGCACTGACCTCAACCATGTGTCAAGGTCCTCACCCCTCTTATCCCCTGAGAAGGGTTTAGGCGAAGCAATGGCAGTCTTGGGAACCCACTATCCAGGGTGTGGACCTTGTGCCCAGTGCCTGCACCACTCCAGGTTGTGGACCCTGAGGCGCAGGCTGTTGCACTAGCTGCTGCTGGGGCTGCGTACCCTACGGCTGTGCCGGCTGCGAGACAGAAGGCTGCGCTGTTACAACAATCTGCAACGGAGGTTGGGATAACACTGTCTGAACAGGAACCTGTACACTAGGACCTGCTGGGAACCCACCTGTAAAAGGCATGACTAGGTGGGAAGCGGCCTGTACCAAAGTTGGAGAAACAAATGGGGCTACTCCAATTACCGGCGGGACAAAAGAGGGGGCTGCACCACGGGCCAGGACTCTGGCCGTGTCGGTGGTGTGGCCTGAACTCGCCCGACCAACACGGCCAGGCTGCAACGGAGGTTGGGATAACACTGTCCGAACAGGAACCTGTACGCTAGGACCTGCTGAGAACCCACCTATAAAAGGCATGACTAGGTGGGAAGCGGCCTGTACCGAAATTGGAGACAAAAATGGGGCTACTCCAGTTACCGGTGGGACAAAGGAGGGGGCTGCACCACGGGCCAAGCACCTGGCCGTGTCGGTGGTGTGGCCTGAACTCGCCCGACCAACACGGCCAGGCTCCGCTGAATGTCTTGTAAGAGTGACGTGTGGTACTCCTGCATCTCTACTACATCTAGCAGGACTGTCCTAAGGGTTCTCGCATCGTCATCCATATTCGTCAGGTCCATTTCCTCCAACTCCCTGATGTCCTCTTTTCTCCGCTGCATCCTCACTCTACGTCTAATCATTCTCTCCTTCTCCGCCTGTATCTCATCTAAAGCCCGCAGTAGCTGTGCTTCGCGAGCGCTTGCTCGCTGAATGGCGACCTCCTCGGGAGTTAACACTAATGGCTGGCTTGCCATAACGCCAGCGGACTGACTCACGGTCTGTGTGACCGTCGCCCTGACCGTCCCTGAACTACTGGCCTGGGAACTTTGCTGTGTAGCAGTGGCCATGACTGCTGAAGTAGCGGCCTCGCTTGCGAAGGCCTTGCTTGCCTCTGTGTCCCTAGCGCTCCGCTGCTGTTGCTACCTCTCCCTAAGCTGGCGGAACAGAAAACGGTCCCCCTCTGGTCCTAGGGCTACGTGGACCAACGGGCGTCTAGCCGATTGCAGGATCCTATCGTCCGGGTCAGGAACTTCCCTGTCGCTCATAAGCTACTGCACTGTACACTGTCTGCATTAGGTTTCACTCGGTTGCCTACCACAGCATAGTGCTCAGACTGACTTAAAATAAATAAAATTATTAATCGGTGGCTATGACAGAGTATACACAGCTGGTTCCAACAGGTAAGTTCAGATTCCTACAAATGAAACTACTTTACTTGACTAGTCCGTGAACAGAAAGCAAATGAGCAGAAATAGAAGATTCTACCTATGCCGTCTGTCAGATGTTAATGGCTGTACATCTAACTAATAAAAATAAAAATAGAATAATTTAGCTGAATGTTGGCAGAGTGGAATTGTTTCCGAACTTGTCACTTGAAATCTACCCCTCCCTCAATTCTTCTTGATTGTCACTTGATGTCAGCGTCCATGAGCAATCCAGATAGCGTGCGTGTCTAAAGGTGTGCACACGGCCCACCCATGTGCCCCTAGTCAATTCTGAGCTGGCCAACCCTGCACCATGTTTACCCTCGCGTGCAGCGAGCCTTACACCGACCGATTGGCTGATCAAGAGGCGTGTTTAAGGACGGCCCCCGAAGTCCTCAGGAATTATTTAACGTCACCAACAGGACGACGATCACAGCCAATGGAAGGTACCCCGCTGGTATTTATTTATAGACGTCCGATACTCGTCTCCCCTGTAGGGCTGGCCTGCCCCTCATAACCCATCTACAACGCAGCAGGCAGAAAAAGGACAAAGCAGCGAAGCATGTGTGCTCTACTCCCGGTGGGTTGGCATGGTGACCATGACCCAGTGCTTCCTCCAGGGCCCTTCAGATAGCTCCGCCCTCTCCTTCCAGATGCTCCACGTGAACAATGCCGACTCTCAAGGTTGAGTGCACTCGACTCCTCACATGAGAGGACTCTCAAGACAAAACACACATCCCCACGGTAAGAAGTGTCGAAGAGGGTAGATAAGGTTAAGAGCAACGTACCTCAAAATAGCTGCCCCCAACCACATATATTCTCACCAGATGACCTGACGTCGATTTTGATGACCAATCACTGCTTCGGCACAACCAGCATTACACCACCGCTCCACCTCAGCATCAATTGAACATCAGATAGTTCTCATCACACTCCGAACACCCAAAATCACCTTGTAGCCTTCCCGGCGATACCTCTCTCTGCCTGGGTCGCCTGCTTGCCTTCACCCTCCTCACTACACACTTCCTACAGCCGCTCACCCAGCAGACCTCACGCATGTACCGCATAGGCAGAAGACAAGTGCCAGATTAGCGCAACGTACCACAGTTCTGATACCAAAATGCAAGGAAAATGAGCGATAGCGTATTCCAGAAACCAAGCAGCATCATACACATGAAACCAGATAGTTGTGACCTCGAACCAAAAGCAGAATTGCCACACGAGTTTCACCAAATAAGAGCGCAGCAAAAGCTCACAAGTGACAATGTTGGAATAGTCTCATCATCATCAACAAAGAACCAAAGTCGATTTCCTATCTGGCGCTCAGCGCCCAGACTACGAATGGCAGATCCTATCTAGCCTATCTACAATGCCGCTGGTGACGTC